AGGGATGTGAAGGTCGACATCGCAAACTTTGCAAGTGGGAGTATATAAGCTAAATATTGCTTAGCTGGTGTGATGAATTTGATATCAACAGTGGTAACTATATATAGCGAAATGAAGAATGTGGTGAGTCTAGGGTAAATCTTTGATGCAATCTTTAGAAGAGGGAAAATATTGTAGGCGGTCAAGTATGAATTTGAATTTGAAATGACGTTGAAATTTGATAGATTTAGGCAATTTTGATATATTTAAATTGCAATATTGTTCGTTTTCCATAAAGGATCTATTTTGTTTAATTACTCCTTCATATACGGAAATACGGAATATTTTGATTTAGGTAGGTACAGTGCATCTAAAATATATCGAAAATATAGGGATTGTTTAGACTATCCAAACAATGATTTGTAAGTTGGTTATATAATTTCAGATTGATAGGGTTACGATAATATAGGAAGGTAATATTATTATGAACTGATAAATTTGGAATATGCATACATTGATTCCATTTATGCTTAACCATATAATTGTGTCGAGAAATTCGGAGGAAAGTTTAAGGTGGAGTTATGATTTCTTCATTATTACAGTAATTATTTTTTTGAATTAAATGAACCGAGATTATGGGATCACGTATAACCGAGATTATGGGATTACGTATACTGACACATTAATATAAACAATATTGTAAATAAGATTTGAAATTTATGAAGCGCAAATATGGGCTCATGTATATCATCATCATTTGTATAAATACATACCTCATTCGTATAATAGTAATTATGTAGAATAATAAAATTTGTACTTCTCAGAATGTTGATTTATGATAGGAATGTGAATATAAATTTTGCATAAAAATAAGAAAATAAAGATAGTAATAATTTAAATTTAAATCTTGTTAATCAATCGATTTATTTGACAATTTAAATTAGTATATAGTTGTTTTGAGCAAGAAATAAGGTAGATGAGATGAAAATTATGCATGTATAAATCAAAAATTTAAAAGAAGTCAGTTGAGCTAAATAAGGAAAACGAATAAAAATTAGTAAATAATAAATTAAATTATAATTAGCGGAGGGATAAAAATAAGGATATAATCATAGGTGGAATATAATGAATTATTTAAAAGAAAAATGCTGAGAAAAAATGTGGGAGCGACACCTCAGCAAAATGGCTTCCAAATTATTCCTGTTTAATGTATAGAGGATAATTGCATAGATATCCATATATTTGTGTCCACGTGGACGCTACTATATGGATACCTATGTGTTTATCACTAAACGACAAAAAATTTAAGTTAAAAAATATAAAATGGGTATCAAAGTGTTAAGAAAAAAAATTATATAATTTATAGTGTTAAAATAATTATTCGATTATTTTTTAAATAATAGATAAATAACAACAAACAATTATGGGAGTATGTGATATTAATATAATATTAAATAAAGAAATAATATAGATAAGTAAGCAAAAAGGTTAAAACAGTCATTTGTCTTCTCCAAATAGTAGAAAAGTATGTCTTTTGGTAATTAAAACACAAACATCTCTTTTTTGGACATTAGATAACTCAAAAGTACACCTAGTGGTAACACACTCATACTATAATTGAGTATGTTGAATTGACATTATAAAAAAGAGAATATTATCATTTGAGATAATTTTTTAAAGTGTAATGTTTTTTTTTTAAAAATACTTTTTAGAAATAAGGCACTTATTTTACTTTGCTCTCATTTTTTTATTTTTGCCTTCTTTTTTTTCTATTTACTTACAGAAACATATTAAAACGTACGGAAGCCACTTAAATTCACTTATCAGCTTTCACACACTAAATCGCATGAGATCCACCTTAATTCATCAGCTTCCACAAACTAAATCGCACGGAACCCACCTATATGTATGCAACTATATGGATACACATGTAAATATGCATATATATTTACATAGTTACATCCATCTATAATATATGTATGTGGATATGCATACATATATATATATATATATATCTATATAGATATGTCTATATGTATACAACTATATGGATACACATGTAAATATACATATGTAGCTATATAGTTACATCTATCTATACTCTATGTACGTGGATATGCATATATATATATATATATAATTGCATAGATATCCATATATATGTTCACGTGTACGCTACTATATGGATTCATATGTATATACATATATATATATATAATTGCATAGATATCCATATATTTGTGTCCACAAGGACGCTACTATATGGATACGTATGTGTTTATCACTAAACGACAAAAGAATTTAAGTTAAAAAATCTAAAATGGATATCTAAGTATTAAAAAAAAATATATAATTTATAGTATCAAAATTATTATTCAATTATTTTTAAAATAATAGATAAATAACAACAAACAATTATGGGGAATGTCTGATATTAATATAATATTAAATAAAGAAAGAATATAGATAAGTAATTGTGTGTTAATAAAAGAAGTTTTTTAGTCATTTTCAATGCCTAAATAGTAGAAAAATGTCTTTTTGGTAATAAAAACTCAAAAGTGTCTGTTTTGGATATTATAAACTCAAAAGAGCATCACATGGTAACACACTCTAAAAAAAAAGTATGTTGAATTAAGTAGATTTTTTTTTGTTAAAGTGTTTTCATTAATTTAAAAGAGTTTACAGAAAACGAACAAGAACCACAACCTTACTACCGATAAATTTAAAGGGAGCCAGAAGGGGGAAGGAAAACTAAAGCAAAAGCCGCAGAAGAATTCCAAGAAAGGGAAGGGGAGGAATAGATAATTCAGCAACAATCCTGGGTGTAATCAAGGTACCTGCCTATAAGCAGACCAGATACGTAAAAAGACTGGATATCGAGCTGACACCCAAATTCTTTAGAACTAAAGCTTTGTTTTTGACTACCGATTAGACTTTCTTCAAAATAACCTGTGGAGGGGTAGTAGTACCTCAATGAAACCTCTGGTTTCTTTCTTTCCAAATCTCATACATACAGGCCTGCTAGCCTTGTAGTAGAGCAAGTGATATATCTCGAGAAGAACTCACCATCGGGAGCCAAAGAAGGAATTGGTTCCAGTTTGAGGAAGGAGGAGAGAGATCAAGATGGTTGAGCGTACCACTCCAAATAATATCTGCACAATCGCAATTGAAAAATAGATGATCCCTTGATTCTTGCATCGAACCACATAGAAGACAAGTTGATTCCACATCCAGTCCCCAAGATAGTAACCTTTCCGCCAATGGGTTTCTGTTCAGGATGAATAGCCATGCAGTTGTCGAGTGCTTTGGAATTGCAGCTTTATACTATACTAGCTTGTGCCAGGGAACCTCCGGAGTTGTATCTCTGATTGCTGAACAAATAACATTTGAATTGAAATGAGTACATTCTTTGTCACCAACTATCCACGGCGGTTGGTCTGAATCCATGGATCTCGGAGTAGAGACAATATACGAAAGCAGCTAGAGCTGCAAATCAGATCTAGCAAAGGGGAAATTCCAGCCAAATTCAGTAATGAGCATTCAAAGGGATTCCCATAATTTTGATTGCATAAATTTAATGTCTTTTTGTTCTGCTTTGATTCCTTTTTTTGAGACTTTGATGTGTATGTTGCGTAGTTGTTTACTAAAGAAAGAAAAAGATACAAACTAAATTGGCTGGATAAAGACTCTTTTGGAGAAATATAGATCGAGACAGAGAGATTTATTACTGTATTGATGCTACATTTGAGAATAGCTATATGTTACATTTGCTAGTCAATTTTCTGAAATTGCAATATACAATTCCAAGTTCCTGTGTATTGATGTTCCATGTGAGATTAGCTTTGTATAATATTCGACTTCTCTTTACACAATGTGAGATTAGCTATAGGTATAAGATTGTTGTATCTAGCTTTGGTCTTTACTCTGAAATTTTTATATTTGGGAATCAAAATTCTAACTTTGTAATATGCAATTTTCTGTGTATTGATGTTCTATGCGAGATTAGCTTATGTATTATATTCGGCTTCTCTTTATACAATGTGAGATTAGCTTGATGCATAAGATTATTGTACTTACCTTCTATCTTCACTACGTGAAGTTTGTTATATCTGGAAGTCAAGATTCTGACTCTGTGTAATGTGATTCTGGTTATTGTGTAGGCGTGTGTGCGGGAATTCCCAGGGGCTGATCAGGAAGTATGGTCTGAACTGCTGCAGACAGTGTTTCTGCAGCAATGCCAAGGAGATTGGATTCATCAAGGTACATAACAATGATATATGCTGATTTGCATCTCCTTGTTTATTGTTTTTCATTCATTAGCGTGATGATTGTTTATTCTGATTTGTTTTCGTCTCTATGCGGTACCGTTAAACGAGGCACCAGTTCTTGATTGATGCTTATATATAAGACACAAACATGGTGGCTGCATCAACGAATTTGAAACTCTCTTTAGTTTTTATTTATATATATATATATATATATATATCAATGAAGAAACTTTATCTTTTTAAGTTGTTGGACCTTTCAAAATGATGGATGTAATTGTCTTTAAATCTTATGTCTTCGTTTGAACAATGATGTTTTAGTTATTCTCATTTTTTTTTACCAGTGATATTTTGTTTTGATCAAGAAATTTCCTGATTTTAAACCAAAATATCAATATGATTTTGTGACATTAGCTTATAAGACGTTCTTAAATATGACACAACGTAAGCTTGTAGACCGTGTCGAGAAGAAAAGTAGAAACATACAAATACAAGAGACAATTCTTGAGATGAGAGGTCGAGTCGCCATGGATCAAAGAGAAAAAGGCCTCAAAACACAACCTATGGAGATGAACAAGTTAAACTAAAAGATTCTGCTCATTATTGGGCCTAATTGGCCTTTAAAGTCTGACCCATTAGTTTTGTTTCTTCATAAAAAAAAAATGAACAGTTATTTAAGATTCCGCTTCTCCTCATCGATACAATTTCTAGGGTTTTGAAGAGTTGTTTTTATTCACTTTTTGTTCTTCTGGCGATATGGGTTTCTCAACGATTTGGAATTCTCAGTCGAAGAAGTATGGCACTGGATCTCGCACCTGGTAATCTCAATTTTCTTCTCTCTCTTGCTTATTGTTTTTTTGGTTCATAGAAGAATGTAGGAGACGAATACAATGAACGAAAAGCATTCTCGATTAGCATACACAAGTTCTTTATATCTTGTGATGAATCTGATCATGTAATAAGTATTTGGTCTGGTAATAAGCTTTTGCTTGCATAAATTTAATTGCTTTTTGTTCTGATTTGATTGCATTTTCAGACTTTGATGAATATGTTCTACAATATTTCACTAAAGAAAAGAAAAACACAAACTAAATTGGCTGGATAAAGAGTCTTTTTCAGAAATGAAAATTGGGACCGAAAGATTTATAACTGTATTGCTGCTACATTTGAGATTAGCTATATGTTACATTTGCTACTCTATTTTCTGAAATCGTAATATACAGTTCCAAGTTCCTGTGTATTGCCGTTCCATGTGAGATTAACTTTGTATAATATTCGGCTTCTCTTTACACAATGTGAGATTTGCTTTAGGTATAAGATTGTTGTATCTAGCATATGTCTTTACTTTTTGAGATTGTTATATATGAGAATCAAGATTCTGACTTTGTAATATGAAATTTCCTGTGTATTGCTGTTCCATGCGTGATTAGCTTATGTATTATATTCGGCTTCTCTTTTCACAATGTCAGATTAGCTTGATGCATAAGATTATTGTATTTACTTTCTATCTTCACTAGGTGAAGTTTGTTATATCTGGAAGTCAAGATTCTGACTCTGTGTTATGTGATTCTGGTCATTGTGTAGGCGTGTGTTCGGGAATTCCGAGGGGCTGATCAGGAAGTATGGTCTGAACTGCTGCAGACAGTATTTCTGCAGCAATGCCAAGGAGATTGGATTCATCAAGGTACATTACAATGATATATATGCTGATTTGCATTTTTTTTTCATTCATTAGCGTGATGATTATTCATTCTGATTTGTTTTTCGTCTCTATGCAGTACCGTTAAACGAGGCACCAATTCTTGATTGATGCTTATAGGACACAAACATGGTGGCGGCATCGACAACTTTGAAACTCTCTTTAGTTTTTATTTTTATATATTAATGAAGAAACTTTATCTTTTTAAGTTGTTGGATCTTTCAAAATGATGGATGTAATTGTCTTTAAAGCTTATGTCTTCGTTTGAACAATGATGTTATTAGTTATTCTCGTTTTTTTTTACCATTGATATTTTGTTTTAATTAAGAAATTTCCTGATCTTAAACCAAAATATCAATATGATTTTGTGACATTAGCTTATAAGACGTTCTTAAATATGACACAATGTAAGCTTTTAGACCGTGTCGAGCGGAAAAGTAGAAACATACAAATACAAGAGACAATTCTTGAGATGAGAGGTCGAGTCGCCATGGATCAAAGAGAAAAAGGCCTCAAAACACAACCTATGGAGATGAACAAGTTAAACTAAAAGATTCTGCTCATTATTGGGCCTAATTGGCCTTTAAAGTCTGACCCATTAGTTTTGTTTCTTCATATTAAAAAACTGAACAGTTATTTAAGATTCAGCTTCTCTTCATCGATACAATTTCTAGGGTTTTGAAGAGTTGTTTTTATTCGCCGTTTGTTCTTCTGGCGATATGGGTTTCTCCGCGATTTGGAATTCTCTATCAAAGAAGTATGGCCCTGGATCTTGCACCCATTTTCTTCTCTCTCTCTTGCTTATTGTTTTTTTTTTGGTTCATAGAAGAATGTAGGAGATGAATAGAATGAACGAAAAGCATTCTCGATTAGCATACGCAAGTTCTTTATATCTTGTGATGAATCTGATCATGTAATAGTATTTGGTCTGGTAATAAGCTTTTGATTGCATAAATTTAATTGCTTTTTGTTCTGATTTGATTGCATTTTCAGACTTTGATGAATATGTTCTACAGTAGTTCACTAAAGAAAAGAAAAACACAAACTAAATTGGCTAGATAAAGAGTCTTTTTCTGAAATGAAAATTGGGACAGAAAGATTTATTACTGTACTGCTACTACATTTGCTACTCTATTTTCTGAAATTGTAATATACAGTTCCAAGTTCCTGTGTATTGCTGTTCCATGTGAGATTAGCTTTGTATAATATTCGGCTTCTCTTTACACAATGTGATATTTGCTTTAGGTATAAGATTGTTGTATCTAGCATCTGTCTTTACTTTTTGAGATTGTTATATATGAGATTCAAGATTCTGACTTTGTAATATGCAATTTTCTGTGTATTGCTGTTCTATGCGTGATTAGCTTATGTATTATATTTGGCTTGTCTTTTCACAATGTGAGATTAGCTTGATGCATAAGATTATTGTATTTACCTTCTATCTTCACTACGTGAAGTTTGTTATATCTGGAAGTCAAGATTCTGACTCTGCATGTGATTCTGGTCATTGTGTAGGCGTGTGTTCGGGAATTCCCAGGGGCTGATCAGGAAGTATGGTCTGAACTGCTGCAGACAGTATTTCTGCAGCAATGCCAAGGAGATTGGATTCATCAAGATACATTACAATGATATATATGCTGATTTGCATTTTATTGTTTTTCATTCATTGGCATGATGATTGTTCATTCTGATTTGTTTTCGTTTCTATGCAGTACCGCTAAACGAGGCACCAATTCTTGATTGATGCTTATAAGACACAAACATGGTGGCGGCATCGACAACTTTGAAACTCTCTTTAGTTTTTTTTTGTATATTAATGAAGAAACTTTATCTTTTTAAGTTGTTGGACCTTTTAAAATGATGGATGTAATTGTCTTTAAAGCTTATGTCTTCGTTTGAATATAATGTTATTAATTATTTTTGTTTTTTTCCATTGATATTTTGTTTTGATCAAAAAATTTCCTGTTCTTAAAATTCAAAATATCCATATAATTTTGTGAAATTAGCTTATAAGACCCATTGTAAACTTTTAGATCTTGTCGAGAGGAAAAGTTGAAAATACAAATACGAGAGACATTATCAGAGTAGCTGGCTAGCTGCACACAAATTTGATATTGATTTAAAGGTTCGAAGCACAACGAAATAAAATGGGGCTAATGTTGGGCTAATAACGAGCCTAAGGAATATAGCCCGTTAAAAAACTTGCTGTGACAAATATTTTATTTTCTCGTTACAACGAGACAAATATTTTAGGGTTTTGAAGAGTCTCCCTCTCGTTGCCGTTCTTCTTCCAATCAACGGAAATGGGTTTCTCAGCGATTTGGAATTCTCACCCTAAGAAGTACGGCCCTGGATCTCGCACATGGTAATCTCAATAATCTTCCCTCTTTCGGTTTTTTCTTTTTTATTTGTTTGGTTCATAGAAGAATGTACGAGACGAATATAATGGACGAAAAAAATTCTTGATTAACATGCGCAAGTTCTTTATATATTGTGATGAATCTGATCATGTGATAAGTATTTGATCAATAAATATGTTGGATTGTATAAATTTAATGTTTTTTTTTTCTGCTTTGATTCCTTTTTTTGAGACTTTGATGTGTATGTTCCGCAATAGTTTACTAAAGAAAGAAAAAGACACAAACTAAATTGGCTGGATAAAGAGACTCTTTTGGAGAAATGTAGATCGAGACAGAGATATTACTGTATTGATGCTACATTTGAGAATAGCTATATGTTACATTTGCTAGTCAATTTTCTGAAATTGTAATATACAGTTCCAAGTTCCTGTGTATTGCTGTTCCATGTGAGATTAGCTATAGGTATAAGATTGTTGTATCGAGCTTCGGTCTTTACTCTGAAATTTTTATATTTGGGAATCAAGATTCTAACTTTGTAATATGCAATTTCCTGTGTATTGCTGTTCCATGTGTGATTAGCTTATGTATTATATTTGGCTTCTCTCTACACAATGTGAGGTTACCTGTATGCTTTTGAGATTGTGTATTTGGCTTCTGTGAGATTAATTTATCTTTGATATTGTGTATTTGACGTCTGAGTGATTAGCTTATGTATGAATTAGCTTTTGAGATTGTGTATTTGCTTCTGTGATATTAGCATATGTATGGAATTGCGTATTTAGCTTCTGCGAGATCAGCTTATGTATGAGATTGTGTATTTGGCTTCTGTAAGATTAGCTTATGTATGATATTGCGTATTTGGCTTAGCTTATGTATAAATGATATAGCGTATAGGGCTTAGCTTAGGTATGAAATTGTGCATTTGGCTTCAGTAAGATTAGCTGAATGATATTTACGTATTTAGCTTTTGTGAGATTCGGTTATGTATGAGATTGTGTATTTGGCTTCTGTAATTATTAGCTTATTATTGTGTATTTGGCTTCTGTATGATTAGCTTATTATTGTGTATTTGGCTTCTTTGAGATTAGCTTATATGTGAGATTAGCGATGTGTTATATTTGGCGGTCAAGATTCTGACTTTGTGTTATGCTATACTTGTCTGTACATAGCCGTGTTTGCGGGAACTCCCACGGGTTGATTAGGAAGTATGGTCTGAACTGCTGCAGACAGTGCTTCCGCAGCAATGCCAAGGAGATTGGCTTCATCAAGGTAAATTTTTTAGTGATAATCTCCATGACTTTTGTTTATTTCATTCTTTTGAATCATTGTTCATTCTGGATTTGTTTTCTCGTCTTTGCAGTACCGTTGATGTGGCACCAACCAGTTCATGTTGGATGCTTATAATATACACATGATGGCATCGATGGATTTTCCTTTGGTCGTCTTTCTAGTTTTGATATTATGAATTGAGAATCTTTGTTTTACTTATTTATATTTAAGTTGTTGAACCTTTCCCAAAGATAGTTGTTGCCTTGTCTTATAAAGCCTCATGTCTTTGTTCTGAAGGTTGAATGATGATGTTTGTCTTAGTATTTTATTGCTGTTTTATTAGTCTACTAGTATTATACCCCGTGCATAGCATGGGAACATTTTTGCTTACATAAGAGCCCAATCTTCAGTTACATATATATACTGATATACTCATATACATAACTAAAAATTATATCTATAAAATAACTTTCATTTATGAGAAGGGGATATACATCAAAACATCAGCACACTTATCATTGATCAATTACAACATATGAAAATTAAATTACATTGATTGAAATTAGCTTGTTGAGTACAAATATTAGTTTGAAGCTAGTTGTGAATGACCTTGCCAATTCTCTCTTTTTCTTCTTCTTTGACTCAAAACCTTCTCACCATCCTATGCGCTATAGCCTCCATAATGGTGCCAAAAGCTAATAATGAGCATAAAGAAAAAATGTAGAAAACAAAACTCATAACCAAAAAAAACCAAGAAAGATCGGACCTTGTACGAAAACCTCACCAGGCTATCTTCTGTCAATTACTTGGTTCCATGTAGAGGTGTCAAAATGGGTGGGCGACCCATGGGCTGTTCATGTCCAATACATTTTGGACCGGTCACGGATAAGCCCATTTTTAAACGGGTCTATTTAGACTTCGTCCAATTTCGCTCATGGACAAAACGGGTTAGACATGTTGGACACTGGTCCATCCATAGACAAAAAGTTTGTCCCACAATGACAAACTTGGAAAATTGAGAAGGGAAGCTGCACTATAAATACGAGTCTAGCAAGCTATTTTTGAAAAATTAAATAAAAAAACAAGTACTCACAAATACTGTCTACAAAAACAGTGAAGCCGAACAAGTGAAGTTACCCACTGCTTCGTTTGGGTAACAGATTACCGCATCTCTTATATTTCTTGTTTATAGTGGAGCTTCTAAGCTAAATTAAGCAAGGATGACAAATTACTGAAATAATGTAGTAGATGGGAATAATCAATCATGAGTGGTTCGCAAGAACGAAAATGATTTATAATAAAACTGTCTTTTTGGTGATTGAATTAGTCACTACTCGCTTAATACGACTTTGTAGTTGGTACAGCGATGGTACAGCAAAAGATAATTGTTTTTATTCCTGTTTTATAATGATATTTCGAAATATGTTATACACGTGGAAGTGTAAATGTGGGTGTAACCAAGAGAACCACACGTTCATCTATAATTTTTTTTTGGTTTTAATATTCATGCTCACAATTTTCTTTAGTCGCATTGACATTTTGACGAATTAGCGATATTCTTATGCGTATCGCTATACACGTATTATGATAACTAGGTGAATACCCGCACATTATATGCGGGTTTTTATTTTCAATTTTTTCAATTTTTTTTTATATTTTTATAAAAATTAATATAATTATCACTTGTTATTTACTTATTAATATTTATTCAAAAAAATTAAAATATTAAATATTATTAATAATTTAGAGTTATATTAAAATTAATAAATATCATCAATATTTTTAATTAGTTATAACATAAAATTTTGTTTAACATTTACACAAATATTAACTAATAGTCAATTAATAAAAAAATTTAAATTAATAGAATCATCATTTCATTTGTTACTTGTTAGTATTTTATTATAAATAATCTTTAAAAAATAATTTAAAATATATATTGAATATTATTAAGTAATTTACAGTTATATAAAAATTTAATACATATCTATCAATATTTTTAATTAGTTATAACATAAATTTTTGTTTAACATTAATATAAATATTAGTTAAGAATCAATTAATAAAACAAACTTTTCATATTCTTGCTTTAAAATTTAATATTAAATTTTTATTAATTACAATTTAAGTGACATGTGTCAATTTTTCCAATGCTGATGTGTTAAGCTGAGCAACTTTTATATATAAGATTATGATATATTTTATTATTTTAACATGTGTTATGATAATTTTATATTTTCTTTAATCTATTTCCATCAGATTTGAAAACATGGTTTATTGTTTTCTAAGATAACTTTATATATATAGTAGAATTTAACCCACGCATTATAAAAATTTGATTGTATGTAAATTTTTTTTTTAATATGTTTTCTATTATTTTTTTTGTTTATTGCAATACTGGTTATTTTTTATTTAATTAATTTTATGTTATTTTTGCTATAAAGTTATTGGTTACTGATTTTATTATATTGTAAAACAAATTTGAATTTATAATGAAATCAATTTTTGTTTATTTTTAAATATTTTGTTCTTATTGAAGTTGTAATAAGAAGTTTGAACATAATTTGTGTAGGCAAAATTTTTGGTTATTGTTTCTGTTTTCCTTATGCGTATGCTTCTCCGAAAATGTAATATTGTAAACAGTCTTTTTCACTGAAATCTAAAGTGCAAATTATTTACGTAGTTATTTTCTAATTGTTGCAGAAAAATGGACTTTGGTATTACAAACTTGATGGATGAAGACAACTTTAATCTTGAAGATATGGATCCTGAGGATGAGAGAGTTCATCAAGAGACTGCTTCTTCAGAGATGGCTGAGAAACAAAAAGGTACAAGTAGTTCTAGTCGACGACGCTCTAAATGCTGGAAAAACTTCACAATAGGAGATAGATATGCTGATGGTAAAAATGATAGTACGTGCAAGCACTGTAATAAAACCTATTGTTTGGATCTGCGTAGAAATGGAACAAATACTTTGACTCGTCATATGAGAAGTTGTTCTAAGACTCCTGGAAGCACTCCTAGAAATAGTGTAAGAAAGCTGGATATGATGGTGTTTAGAGAGATGATTGCAGTGGCTTTGATTCAGCATAATCTCCCGTACTCTTTTGTTGAGTATGAAAAGATTAGGGAAGCTTTTGCTTATGCTAATCCTGATATTGAGTTCTGGAGTAGAAATACAGCAGCAGCAGATGTCTTCAAGATTTTTGAGAAGGAAAAAAGGAAGCTCAAGGAAATTTTGACTAACATTCCAGGAAGGGTTTCTTTGACAACTGATTTATGGAGAGCTATCACTATTGAAGGTTATATCTGTCTCACAGCACACTACATCGATGTAGATTGGGTTTTGAAAACGAAGATACTGTCTTTCATTTCTTTTCCTCCTCCTCACACTGGTATTGCCATAGCAATGAAGCTTATTGAATTGCTAAAAGATTAGATGCTAGAGAGAGCATTGAAGTATAACTTTAGATGTTTCAACTCGTTGGAATTCTACATACCAGATGCTAAAGAGAGCATTGAAGTATAAAGATGTCTTGCGTAATCTGGCAGAAGTAGAGAAGAGTTATCAGTGTTTTCCATCAGATGTGGAGTGGGAAAGAGGAGATATGATATGTAAGCTCTTGAAATCGTTTGCTGAAATAACAAAGTTGATTTCAGGTTCATCATACCCCACATCAAACTTGTATTTTCTGCAAGTCTGGAGTATAAAAATGTGGTTGATAGATCATGAAGACTCTGATGACTTTGATATAGTAGTTTTGGTTCTTGTAAATATGAGGTGATCATATCTAGTTTTTGTATTGATTATATTTCAGGGTTTTCATTCATACTTTTCTCAAAAGACTGGTGGTAGTGGAAAGTCACCATTAGACACATACTTAGATGAGCCAGTGTTAGATCTAGTTTCTTTTAGGAGTATGAGTGTCTTGGACTATTGGAAAGACAATGCAAGTCGTTTTATGGAGTTGTCAAGTATGGCTTGTGATGTGCTAAGCATTCCGATCACAACAGTGGCGTCTGAATCAACGTTTAGCATAGGAAGTTGAGTCCTCAACAAGTACAGAAGTTGCCTTCTACCTAGAAATGTTCAAGCGTTGATATGTGCAAGGAATTGGTTTCGTGGCTTTGAAGAATTTGGTAAGAATTTCACATTTTTTTTCATATTTTAGGTGATGAGTTCTTACTTAATTATTTTTCAATTTTGTAGGTGATGAGATTGACGAGGAAGAAGAAGAAGCATGATGTGATGGATTTTCTCAAATAAATTTGTAGTTTGTGAGCACTAATAATTTGTTATGTTAAAAATATTTTGTAGTTTGTGGGTACTAATTATTTGTTATGTTAAAATTACTTGTGGTTTTGGTTCGTTACTTTATGTTAAAAATATTTAATAGGTTGTGGGTACTAATTATTTGTTATGTTAAAATTATTTGTAGTTTTGGTTTGTTACTTTATTTTCAACATGTAAATTAATAAAAACTCAAATATTTTCAACATGTAAATTAAGAAAAACATTGAATTATCATTTTGTAGTAGTTAAAAGATCAAATAAACATTTAGTAAATTAAAAAAATTAAATTTATTAGTAAGAGAAACAAATGTCAACATATCAAATAAAAAGTCAACAAAATAATATGGACGGCCCGCGGAAAGACCATCTGGACATGGTCCAATTTGGGCGTGGACACTTTTTGGCCCAATGTCCATTACAACCAGTCCAATTATGTCCGCTAAATTAAATGGATATTGTGGACGGCCAATTGACAGTTCTAGTTCCATGGTGGTGTTGTAACTCATCATAATTCTCTGCAGAAACAGTAAAATAAAAAGATTTAGTAGAAAATCCACAAAGAGAACTCCAAAGAATCAGACTAAAAAAAATAAATAATCATCATATCGAATAGAGAGCGTTATTAACCTGTTGGAGAAGATTTGAGGAAAAGAGAGAAGTAGATGGTGACTGGTGAGATCGACAGCCATGAGAGGAGAGGTGTAGAGAGAGTCAGAGAGGCGATGAAGATGATGAAAATTTATAAATACGTGTGTTTGTTTTGCTGCTTTGATGTGCATGAATGGATATAAGAGGAGAAAGAAAGGAAGAGCAAATAAAGAGTTATGAAGGAGTTGAAACTGTTTGAGATCGTGACATGATTGGGAGTTATACATGAATTACAGTTATCGTGAGATAGAGGAGACGAAAGTTTTAGAAACCGTGGGATCCTGGTTATTTTTGGATGAGAAAATTTAGAATTTTTAGAATTAGGTTTTGAAGCTTTTTACTTTTTTTTCACTACTTTCTATTTTTTTGTTTTTTTGCTTTTTACGTTAATTTTTGTTTTACTTTGACACATATCACCATGTAATTGGTG